TTATCGAATTTCCATTGGTCGTTCGTTGTACTCTTGTGGTACCTCTCCATGCATGTAGGTGGACCAGGAATGTCTTGTTGAATTCTGAATTGGAGTTTCACCCTATCTGAATGATGCATTTCAACATAAGTGAAACAAAATATGAATGTTGTAGAACTCCACGTGTCACTTTCAGTTGGATCCTCGTCTTCAAGTTCAAGATAGGGCCTCCATAGAAACTATAACATAGTTAAAAAGGGATTAGAGTAAAAAAAAAAAAAAGGAAAGTGATAGTAGTATAAGTGTTAGAGACAATACATCATCTTCCTCAAAATGATCGAAGAACGTCCGATACCCTGGAGCACAATGATGCAAAGTTTTTTCATAATTCATCCCATACGCGGACCACCTATGAAATAAATAGTTAGTAAAAATTATAGATGAAAAGAATATATACATAAACTTTGTATACTTACTTGGTTGCATATGGAAAGTGATATGGATTGGGATTTATCGGCGCCAGTCTGGGCATTCTGGGTCATCCGCAAGTTTGAATCAAAACGCCACAACCGGAAAAATTATGCACATTCTTCCTTACGCATCTACACAAATTTCTGTATAGATGCGCTAAGGTAGCAGCGCCCCAACTATACCTACTTATTTGACTTAAATCTATTTGACTTAAATCTTCTAATAATGATAAAAAAATGAAGATAGATAGTATTACCATTAGTATCAGGAAATAAAAAACATGCAAAAATCAATAATATATAAATTCTAGTTTTATAAATTTTTATTTCCCCGGGAGACTCATCGGTCAAGTTCAAAGCACCATAAATTCTTTTTAGCCAGGTAATTTTAAGTCTTTGCCCCTTCCTATCACTTCGTTCCAAAGGCACCCCCAATAGTTCTTCCACTAATTCATATTTAACGTTTGTGTCACCCACAACCGCTAACCCATTGACACGGAGACCTAACAATATATGGACATCCTCCAGGGTCACTAAGCATTCACCTATGGGAAAGTGAAAAGTATGGGTTTCTGGTCGCCATCTTTCGCACAAGGCGAGAAGAAATTTGCGATCAATTCCATATGATGTTATCTTGATGACGTGACCGAAACCCGCTTGAATCAAATATAGTTTGATAACTTCATCAGGCTCTATGTACTTATGTGAGCGTGGTTTGAAATTTTTTTCATCCTACAAAAAATTATTTTAAATAACATTATTAAAATGTAACAACTTAATATTTTTAAAATATTTTAAATAACAACTTAAATAATATTTTAAATAACTAATATAAATATTATAATGTTATTTTAAGTAAGACAAATAACATATAACATTTTAAATAACATCATAAATTTTTTAAATTTGTAAATAATATTTTAACTTAAATAATATCATAAATTTGTAACATCATATTAACTTACATAATATTTTAAATAACATCATAAATTTTTTAAATAAGTATAACCATTTTAAATAAATAAATTTATAAAGATTAACTTACATAAGATGCAATGTTTGCAAGTGTACCGCGATGATCATCTCCTAAGGTTAGTAAAACCATTTTTGAGATGAGATGGTAGTAGAGTGGTAGTAGAGACTTTTTAAGAGTGGTAGTAGAATTATATAGAGAAGAATTATAATGGTAAGCATTATATAGTAGAGATTTTGTAAGATTGGTATGTAGAGATTTATTAAGAATGGTATTTATAGGAGATTAAGATGGGTAAAAATTAAATTGAGTGTTGGTAAGAATTAAATAAGTGTTGGTAAAAATTAAATTGTACGTGTCTGCATGCATGGGAGCAGAACACCTAATGTGTCTGACAGCCGCCCTTTCAATGGGCGGCACATTTATTCTTCTGTTGACCAATTCCAACGTGTAATATTCTTGCATGCAGCATGCATCTTTGCTAAATTTTTCTTCTATAATTTGCTTCAAAATTTTATTATTGCATGCATCTTCTAACATTTATTCTTCTATCTTCAAACATTTATTTCGACTAGCCATCTTCATTTATTTCTGCTACTCATCTTCTATATTCAAACATTTATTTCTTTATATTATTTCATCTTCATCATCTTACATAATGTCTAATAGTCAACAATATATTGTTAATGTTCATTACAATAGGAGTGTTGTTGTATCAGATGAAATGGGTTTGATCTTTGAAAACACTGACGTAACTTGTTTCAGTGTTAATAAAAGATCGTCATTCCAACATTTTAAAGATAGGGTACAGATGAAGGTGCAAGCAGGATCAATTACACAAATTACGTATAAAAATGCTGTCCATTTCGGGGACCATCGCTTTAAATTTGTTCCATTAAAGGTTCATGACGATGAGGATGTTGAAACAATGTTCTCGAATCATGAATGTTTTGGGTTTCAGCATATTGAATTATATATAACATTTTCACAATGTCAAGAAACTCAAATTTCTCAGGTCATCAATCCATCCATAGAGGCAACGCCAACCATAATTCCACTCGAAGATGTTGAAGAAGAAGACGGCGAAGAAGAAAACGAGGCACAAGTTGATGATTTATTTACTACTTTGTTTGAGGAAGGAAACGGTTGTTAGACGATGGCTTGGATCTAGAAGGGGGAGTTGAATAGATCCCAATTAAAATCAGTCGGCGCTACCAATTAAAAATTGGTTTTTCAAAATATTTGTTTTTAAATTTGCGGAAGCAGCCGTGAAAAAATTACGTCTAAGAATGAACTGTTATTAGAAGACCGGATATGCGTCTAGCCTTATAGATATGATAATGAGCAAAGTTTGATTCAACACACTAGTCACACTATCAGTTGATTTTATCACTTATTAGTAGAACTATCACCAATGATCTACAATGCCCACAAAGTAGGCAAATGGACTAAGTAAACTTTGGTGTAGGCAATTTATCAAACACTTGGTGTGCAATACACTCCAAGTGTGGTTTGGCTTGAGTAAGATACTTTAATTTCCTTGTGCAATGTATTGTTGCACTAAAGTTCAAAACAGTACTAGGTACTTACTCAATTCAACCCAACTTGTGATATAATTGCTTATACTAAAATCACTTAAATTTTAAGCCAAAATTGAAAGTGCTGAAAAGTAAAAGGAGACAAAGATTTGTTGAGGCAATTCCCCCGTCGTCCTCGCTTCGGGGTACGTCTGCCTTCTATTCTAATAATAGAATTGAGATCAATATATTAGATATCATCTGTAATGTAGAAATGTTTATACAAGAATTGATAAGTAAAATGTACAATCAAGCCCTCTTGAAGTTGATGATGATATCGCTTCTTGCTCCTTGATTCGAGTCGAATCAAGTTCTCCGATTGTTGTGAGTAAACCTCTGATTCCAGCCCCTTTATTGAATCATCTTTCGTTCTTCAAACCCTCGGCCCGACTGATCTTACGCACGAACAAATCAAACCCGGAACACTCTTGAACTCTTCACTGATTTTCGCTACTAGATTGATGAAGACTACCGCTTCTCAATCACCTTCACTCAGCTGAAGTAGGTAGAGATAAATCGTACAAAAAAACCTCCAAAATCTCCAAATATTAGAAGGTAAAACCTTCAAGGTTTTATCCAAGAAAAACCTGCCTTCAAAATCACCCTGAACTGGATTTCCGATCACGACTTCGGACCTTATCACCTTAAACAAAATCACAATCACCCCAAGAATTATTGTGTGTAATTGTTGTGTTGTGGGTTGTAAAGGATGAAGATTGATGAACTTTGATGACACCTCTTTCACTTTTCTTGATTTGTGACAATTGATTCAAATTCACAATTGTTGTTGATAAAACTGAACAAAGTTACTATATATAGTAACCAACCAAACACCAAACTTAACAACTTTTCAAACATAGTAAGAAGCCTAAAAAAACAGCACAAACGAGCGAAGCGTCAACCATAGCAGGTCTATGCATCGACGCATAGACTGCAGACTTGGACAGTTTTGAAAGTGCAGCAGTGTGCGTCGACCATAGGTCGGCGTGCGCTGACCCGTGAGTAAAGTGATAGCTTCATGCGTCGACTCATGGTCTTCATGCGTCGACTCATACCTGCATGTGCTGACCCGTGAGAAAAGCGCAGATGTATGCGTTGACCCAATGGTCGACTCATGGCCTGAAATCTGCAGAAAATTGTTATTTATTTGGTTTTCTATGCATTTAGTCATAACCACATATCATACGTATATATTGTATTAAGTAAAGCACTTTAAATGATATAGGAAGGATATGGTGGATGGAATATTTGCATTTGTCTTTTGTAGAGGCGGAACCGATAATGTCGATTCATCCATGATTGTAATTTGTCATCATCAAAACTCAAGATCGTATGTTTTATGACGGTTTGCCCTCACAACGGTGTCAACAAAGTCAACAGAGATGAACAATACATTCCAGTTGAGAATGTATTCATCCCACTGGCGCATATGACAACTCTGCCGCTAAATGTAGAAGGAACATCACTTGAATGGCCACGAAATCCTCATATTCCAATGGAGGGTGACATCGAAGTCGGTGACTAATTTAAAAATAAAGCTGACTGTGTGGCTGCCATTAAGCAATATCACATGAAACACTGTGTGGATTATAAGGTGACAGATTATGATAAGAAGAGATATATAATTTGTTACAAGAATGATTCCTGCAAGTTTCGTCTATTGGCGTCCTACCGAAAAAGAAGTGACTTGTGGGAGATAGACATTATGAACCCACCCCATAGTTGTTGAACAACTATGTTTAACCAGAATCATAAAAACCTAATCAGAAATTAATGTCATTTGTAGACAATGATCCTTCTATTAAGGTTAGTGTTTGTATAAGTAAAATTGTTTCTGAATACAATTTTACTCCGTCTTACAGAAAGACATGGAATGCAAGGAATAAGGCAATTGAACAGGTGTACGGTAACTAGGAGAACTCATACAATGAACTTCCACATTTTCTGTTAGCACTTAAAAAATTTGTTCTGGGCACTGTGCTGGAAATAGAAACACTACCCATGTATACAACTGACGATACACTTGCTGAAGGGAAACACATCTTTCACCGACTATTCTGGGTATTCCAACCACGCATTAGAGGTTTTGCCTATTGCAAACCTATACTTCAAATTAATGGAACCTGGTTATACGATAAGTACAAGGGTACATTGCTTATGGCAGTGGCACAGGATGACAACAACAATATTTTTCATGTTGCTTTTGCCCTTGTGGAAGGTGAAACCGCTGAAGGTTGGGGGTTTTTTCTGCGAAACTTAAGGAGGCATGTTGCGCCACAACCAAACCTATGTTTAATTTCAGACCGACATGCATCAATTGATAGTGCATACAACAATGCGGAAAATAGTTGGCATAATCCCCCATCAGTGCATGTTTATTGTATCTGACACATTGCACAAAATTTTATGAGAGAAATCAAGGACAGTAACCTACGGAAAAAAATAATTAACATGGGTAACTATATTTCATAATATTCATTAAATTTTGTCAATAACATATATTATTTTTTTGGATGTTCGCTGATATTTTAATTATTCAGGGTATGCTTTAAACCAACCAACATTTCATTACTATCGGTCAGAGATTGGCATGGCAAATGCAAATGCTTTAAGGTGTATTGACAGTATTCCAGCCGAAAAATGGACAAGGGCATTTGACGGGGGTCGACGTTGAGGTCACATGACTGCCAACCTTGTTGAGTCATTGAATGTTGTCTTTAAAGGCACACGTAATTTTCCCATTACAACATTGGTAAGGGCAACATATTATAGACTGGGATCTTTATTTGCTAAAAGGGGTGCAAAGTGGAGTACTGTGTTGAATTCTGGCCAAACATTTACAGACAACTGCCTCAAGGTGATGAAAGAAGAAACCACAAAATCCAGCACACATCAAGTCAGAATTTTTGACTACGCTAACAATGTTTTCAGTGTCAAGGAGACAATGGACCATGGTGAGGGGAAGCCTATGGGACATTATAAGGTCGACCTCTTGAACGGGTGATGTGACTGCAGAAAGTTTCAAGCATATCGTGTCCCTTGCTCACATGTTATCGCTGCATGTTCGAATGTGCACCACGACGTTTACGCTCTTTTGTCCGACGTTTATAGGGTTACAAACCTGTTTGGGGTTTACAGCACAAGCTTTCCAGTGCTATCGTACGATGAATATTGGCCCGTTTATGAAGGAGATCAAATTTGCCATAACCCAAGAATGCGGAGGAACAATAAAGGTCGCCTGGTGAGCACACGTATTAGAACGGAAATGGATAACTTTGATAAGCTTGAGAGAAAATGTTCCATGTGTCGTGAAACGGGCCACAATCGAACCCGATGTCCTAATGTGAAAACAAGTAATCGTTAGTGTTTTTATTAATTATCATGTATTAAATAATATTAGTTAACGATATCAAGTAATATAAATTATGTATTAAATAATATTAATTAGATTAGCTTCATTATCTCTTACTAAATAATATTAATTATTATTATTATCAATCTATATTAATATTATTAATATTAATTAATATAAATTAATTTTAAAATTATATTAATATTAATATTTAAATTATATTAATATTATTATATATTAATATTAATATTACCAATCCTAATAATGTAAGTATTAATATTATTAATATATATTAATATTAATATTATTAATATATATTAATATTAATATATATATATATATATATATATATATATATATATATATATATATATATATATATATAAATAATTAATAATGAATTAAAACGTAAAATTTAAATTAAAAAAATATTATTGGACACTACCGTCTATTGAAAATGCGGCACCTAATAAATTAAGTAACTGCCACCCATTGAAAGGGTGACCCCCTTGTGCCAAAAATCTCCACTTTTTTGAAAGCGTGCATTCTAGAATTTAATTTGAAAAAAATGGCATTTTAGAAATAATGTTGTATAAACAGGACAGGACAGTGCAAAATTCATCTGTTGCTCTCTAAAGTACGGATTCGACAAAACCCAAATCGTTATACTGCTATGAGAGAGTTCCAACCTCAAATTCAATGTGGTCATTGTTACAGTTAATGTAGTTTTTTATTTCTTTTTTCTAAACTTACTGTTAGTGTCTGGTTTGTTTTCTTAATAATAGTTTTATTTAGTAAGGTCATGTGTTATTAATACTCTGGATCATTGAAGTTTTATTAATATATATATATATATATATATATATATATATATATATATATATATATATATATATATATATATATATATATATATATAAAATCATGTAATTTACCTTCTTTTCAGAACTTATGATCTTGTTTCAAAAATTTAGATATCATATAAGTTGTAGTTAGTAAAGTGAAATTCAGTTACCATCATGCGTTACTCTGTAATTATTAGTTAATTTAATTTTTTATCAATTAATTAGTTTGATCAATTAAATTTAATTAGTGTTAATGAATTTTCATTTATCAATTAATCTTGAATTTCTTTTTTATTTTATTAGTTAATTCAAATTTAATTTTAAATAATTAGATTGCTTAATCGTCGTTGTTAAATACTAAGGCCGCTTATTTATTTTTATAAAAATCTCGGTCCAAACCAATAAAATCATTGTTGTACTCCAAAATTTGACCAACCCTTTTTCTTAATCTTTGACTTATGTTTCATTGCATTTTAGCATCTTGCATTTGCATAGCATAGTTTTTACAGGGGATCAAGTGATTTTTGTGTATCATCCACGAGGAGAGTCTTTATTGGCTTCAAGCTCAAGCAAAGGCAATGGTACAAGCTATCAAGTGGGTGTTATCATCATGAAGTTATCAAAGCTCCTAAAGATGAGAGGTGTGCCATAGCTCAATGTTAAAGGATCATCAAAGGTTTGTCAAGGGACTCATGAAGATCTATCATTGGTAGAAGCATGAGGTAGAAGTTTGTTGAGTACCTCAGAGGTTATAGTGGAGTGAAAATGGTCACTCAGTTCATCTAAGCAATGCCTAGGCAAAAAGGATGAAATTAGGGTTTCATTTTTAATCATGATAAATTTTTTTTGGGAGAAATACTTGTTTCCATGCTCTTCCATATGTCCTAAGGTGTTTGGGGATGGGAGATTGATCATCAATTTTAATCAGAAGAGCTTCAATTGATCAGTCAATTGAAAAATCAAGAGATTTGGGGAAAAAGTCAATTGTGCAGTAAAAAAGTCAACTCCTGATTTTTGAGGTCAAGATCATGTTCCTCAAGTTCAATATGGCCAATGGATGGAATTTGATCAAGAAAAGTCAAGGGAATCATGAAAAATCAAGAGTTGTTGAAAGTTGCCATTTTGGGGAATAAGGGTTTTAGAAACTTTCCATTTATGGAAAGTTTCATGGTTGAAGCAGCCATCTTCAAGGCCATTTTTCTTCATGATCAAGGTTTCAAATGGACTTAGATCAAACATCAAAGTTGTTCCTTGAATTTCAAGCTTTCTTTTGAGTACTAATTCATCACCATATGATACTTTGAGCTCAAGTTATGATCAATCAAAGTTGAGGATTTCAATAATTTCAACATTGGCAAGTTCAGGCAGATTTTTGGACTCACTTTGCAAGCCAATTTTCAGCACTTTCTTGATGTCAAATGAAACCTTGTCCCAAATGAAAGTTATAGATCATGTTCTAAGATTTCCAAAAAGTCCTAGAAGTCCTCCATATGATTTGTGAAGCTCAAGTTATGGATGTGCAAAGTTGAGGAAAAATAAGCCAAAATCCATAACTTAGAACTTTTTCTAAGTTATTCGTGGACAGCTTGCATGGCATGATTTTCAACATCATTTTTCATGGTCTTCCAATCCTTAAACCAAGATGAGTTCAACATGAGAATTATTCCTTGCCATGCCCTTTTTACTTAGAGCTCAAGTTTAGGGCAAATTGGTCTTTGTGCGTCAAGTTGTCATTGCTCAAAGTTGGTGGTTTGAACATATTTTCAATGCATGTGTTACAAGTTATTTTGGCATAGCTTTGCATTTTAATTATACAGCCTGGTTCACTTCACATCCCATACGCATGATGCTAGTCTTGAAGCACACCAAACATTTCCCAAACAAGCCAAACACCCAATGTACCATTTTGTTCATTTTCAAATAACATTGCCTAAACAAGTGATAAACCAAAAACTGCCACAAGACAATGCCTCTTTCCATTCTGTTGCTGACAGATACAAAAAGCAACTATCATTTTGTCCATTATTGCATAGCCCTAGCAGCTGCTATCCTTGTTCATCACACACCATTGATTCAAAATTCATGAAAAGATGCAAATCTGCCCATTCATTTTTCACCATGGTAAAAGCTTGCCAATTCACCTTTCCATTTGATATTTAAGCTAAAGAGAAGCTTGAGAAAACCTTAGCCACCACTATTGCAAAAAACTAGAATTTGAGCTTTAAAATCCTCCAAAACTACAAAAACTGCCTTGTGCAAATTTCATACCAGCATCCTTTCCAATCCTTCAGCCATCATAAAAATCATCCAAACAACCTCAAAATAATCATTAGAAGGTGTTCCAACCATCAGTTTCACCAGAAATATCACAAAACCAAAAGTCAACTTCTCACACCCCTTGTTTGAATTTTATGCATAATATGTGTAAATCACTGCCTAGACCAGTTTGAAACACTTAGACACTTTGAAAACCTTCCCTTTATGTTATTTCAACTGTTTGAAATCTTAAAAAGCAAGTGGAACCTCATTTGTTAGATCTGTCCCAAAAAGATCACTTGTTTCTTCAAAAGGAAGAAAATCCAAGGCTTGCTCAAAAGAAAAAGGGGGTACTGTGTGTTTGCTGCTAGCTTGCTATTTTTTTGGAAGTCTACAAGAGGTATGTGGCCATGAATCTCCTTATTAATGTGCATCATGTTTATGTTTTGTTGGTTTGCTAAATGGTTTAAACACTGTTATGCTTAAAATGCAACTTTGTTGTCCAATATGTGTGTTTGCTGCTAAGATGTCGTTAGGTTGGTGCATGTGGTTATTACTTTCATGAAAGTATGAAGTTGAGAACTTGATGAATATATGCCTTAAGCATTGTTATGTTTGACAGTTATCATTGGTGAAGTTAAATTGAATTTGTCTAGCATAATGAGGGTTTGCATCGTGGACTGTCAAAGATTTCCTTATTTTTGTGGCTACTGTTAGAATTTGTTAGAGGTTGGTTTCACATGTTAAGTGTTCAAGTTTATGTTTGTGTTGCCCATACAAGGGGATTTGATGGGAACTGAGTTTTTAACTCAAATGTGGTTGGCATTAGTTCAGTCTCTTAGGTTAGGAAATGTGTTTAAGCATTGGAACTGTCAAGAGCTTTAAGACATTAGAGTTGTCATTTGGTTTGATGGTTTGTTGCACTTATGTTGTTGTCATAAGTCTTACACTAGGGATGGCCTTTAGTCTTGAGCTTATCTTTTGCCACTGATTGGATTTACAGCTTCACTATTGAAGTATGAGATTATTAAGTCTTGATTGCTAGCTGTTTATTGTTATTGTTCATACTAAAACTGGTTGTGATTGTTTTAACAAGAATGAGAGTTTTCATCTAAAACAGTTTTTGGAATTAGTTTGTGGGTTTGGTTTTATGATAGCAAGTTGGTACTGTCATGAAGGTTTAAGGCTGTTGTGTGTTGGCTAGATCTTTTGAGGATCAGC